TCAAAACACAACAATAGAAGTGGAATAATCCACTCACTTCTAAAAAAATACAGAAACAATATGTTAGCACTCTTGTCAAATTGTCAAGGACATGAATCTTGAAGAAAGAGAATCTTCAATACACTCTTCTATCACTGAAGAGAATTAGAAAGTCACTCAAAAGGTGATGTAATATTAATTAGAATGACTATTGCCAAAAACAAGAAGACTAGAAAGACTTGAAATAAGATTAAGACTAGAAAAGCATTGACAAGAGTGAAGAAGGCTTCACTCTTACCTCCATATATACTATCTAACTAAGAACTACATAGCGATGTCTTATAGGATTTCCAGCATGTATTGACTTTGCTAGCCACATGTCTTATATTGCAAGGCAAGTTATCTATGTATGCGCCACGTAGTTGGCTTGTTCCACAAGTTACTACACAGATATAACTTGTTCCACAAGTTACCAATACATGGTTAGCTTTTTGACCAAGTTTCTAATCTACAAACACATCTAAAGTCAAAATCGTGTCTATAAAGCTTTTAGGAAGCTTTTCTAGAAGACTTTATGAAATTATTTTATATTTACCTACTTCTACTTAATCATATAAATAACTATTGAGATAAATGTATATGTCCATGACATCTACATACATTCACAATGTTTTTTTTTTTTCTTCACAAATAAGATATGAGCTTTTGCTCAAGATTGTTAATGGCATAAGAAGTTCTTAGTCAAGTTTTCATCAATATATTCCTTAAATACAGCTAACTTCTTTTACAATAAGTTATAAATTAGTCTAAATGATAATTGAGCTTTTTCTTGAAGATCGATTAAATAATCATGAAGATAATGCTCTCAAAGAATATCTATATTTTTCTTCTTAAAAACATCTTAATAATCTTAATATTCACTTAAAATATAAATTTTAATCTTTTTATTATTAAAAATGGATATGGCATATAAAACAAAAAGTATCCTTTTTTTACAACATACATAAAAATTCTTGTATTTACCAATAAAGCTTTGATTCTATTAGATTTGTGGATTTTTATTTAACTAAAAATATTTTGGATTAAATCACAAGAAAAATCAAGGTTATTGGAAATCTAATCTATTTAGAGGTTATATTTCTATAATCATAATAATCTTTAAATAACTAGATTATAAGGAGATTTAATCACATTAAACATTATCAAGCTATTATGACTATTAGTTGTTATATCTAAAAGAATAATTTCATGGATAAAATCTCTATAAGACAACAAACAATCATCTATTATTTCTACATGAAAAAAATTGGTTTTTTGGATTAAGTATATTTGTTGATTTTTGAAAAAAAAATATCTATAAAAAAATTGATGCTCTTAAATCTAAAAAAATAAAGACTTTGTGGTTTTTAGGTCCTACATTAACATCTATCTTAAAAAAAGGTGATGGATCTAAAGAAAGAATATAACCATTAGTAGATGTTGTACAAGATTCTAGCTACATAGTCCCTATTATAGGTGTAGAAATTCATTTCCAACATATTGTCTATTTTAGCAATCATATTCCATTTTCTATGATTGTACTACTTTTTTGAATAATATCAAGCAATATGCTTAGATTTCTATAATTTAAGCATAAACCTTCTTGACAACATCAAGTTTTCTTTTATTCAATGAGAAGTTTAAAATGCATTGTATCAATTTGCATAGATTTTGGCCTTGATGAATAGTTTTAAAAAACTTAGAAGTTGTCATCATGACTTGACTTATTTTTATCTACTCAAATCTTTATTCTTGACATCTTTCAAAAATTTGATTGCTACATGCAATGGCTTGAATAATAAATTATTCTAATAAATATGATTTCAATATTGCCAATAATAAATATTTAATATTATCTTTTAACTTAGATCAAAATTGATTGATAAAGACTTTGTCATTCCAATCTATATTGCAAAGGTTTTAGAATTTAATAGCATATATATAATGGTTGAACATAATTATTATTGCAAAAATAGGACTTTGATCTCTACTATCTTTTTTCAATCACTTTCTTTAAATGTGATTGTAAACACTTCTAAAAATTAATTTAAATCATAGAAGAGACATGAATTTTTTTCCTTCAAAGTTACAAATCAAGATTGAGCACTTCAAAATAAAAGTGTGCCTATAAATCTAACTTGAGTACATCTTGCAAAATATTCAAAAGGATACAACCTTAGATGGATTTTAATTTGTTATAGAAATCCTCAAAATTTTGATCTTGTTCCATCAAACTTCTCTAGTATACTAATTCTTGCTTCTTTCATACTTATAGAAGTAAGTCTTGTTACATTTAATTATAGGATGGATCTACTTGCTTCTCTCAATTACACAAATTTTTAGTATAGACTTTAGATTTTATTTTTGACTTCTTCTATAGGCATATGAATAATATCTCCATGGTTGGTATCAGAAATACATGACATTTCTACCCAAAGAATATTGACAAGCTTATAAAAATCTACGTGAATCTACTCACTTCTATAAAAAAAAAATGAATAATAAAATATCACTCTTTTCAAATTGCCAAGGGCATGAATTATAACAATAAAATCTTCATAACACTCTTGTATTACTCAAGAAGAATATATACTTACTCAAAGTAGTATAACATTAGAAATAGAATAGCTATTGCCAAAGACAAGAAGAGTAGAGACTCTTGAAACTAGACTAAGAATAAGAAAGGCTTTAACAAGAGTGAACGAAGATTTATTTTTACCTCCATATATACCATTTAATTAGGAGTTATATAGCATCATTTTAAAAGACCTTCGATAAGTGTCCAATTTACAACATACATATTTAACTTCTAAGAGAAGTTTGTACAATAAGCTACCAATACATGCAACATAAGGCTAGCTTGTTGGCTAAGTTTTTAGCCTATCAATCAACTACAAACATGTCTAAAGTGAAATTGATATCTCAAAAGTTTTACTACAAATGATTATCAAATCTACCTTCATTTATCTTTTACCTAACACTTTTCATATTAGTAATTATAAGTGTTTGTAATAATAATAATAATCATAAAAACTAATTAATTTTAATTTTTTAATATCAATTTATTTTAAGTTCTTTTAATTATACATAAATAATTTTCAAAAAATATTAATATGTTATAATTAATATATTTATTTAAAAAATTATCAATCTTTTTATTATTTAGCACTTTTAAAAAAACTTCTTTTCATACCTCTTATTATTAAATTTTCATATTTGACCTCCAATATTTCTCTCCAACTCCTTTTTAATGTAAAATTATTTGTTGGTGTATATTTCTATCTTTGCAATTGATATCTTACACTTAAAATCTTTGCAATACAATTTCCACATTATACTCATGAGAACAAAACCGACACACCAATCTCCTACGCTCTTCTTCTAAACTTCTCCGTTACAATCTTTTTTCAATCTTCACCATCATATATAGTCTATGCTCTATTCTCTACCATCTCACCTCCTTGCAAAATCAGCACATTATTGAGAGTAAAATTGAGGGATTGGTAAAGAAGTGTGAAGTTCTAGGCAATGCACAAGCTAAGAAAAGTGGAGACATGTAATTTAATTTTAGATGAATTGGTTTAATATTCTCATATGTATATATATATATATATATATATATATATATATATATGTACACATATACTTATCATTACAATCTCATATATATATATATATATATATATATATATATATTACTTAGATTAAAAAATCAAAGCAAAATAATTTTCCTTTCTTTCAAAAAAAATACGTAAATTTATTATATCAATTTGTATATTCTTTTTAAAGCATCAAACTATTATTTGATGTTTTTTTAAAAAAATTTAAATAGTGTGCATAACATTAAATCATAAAATTTAGAAGTGTTTTTTTATTGTTAGATTAATTGTTTGACAAAATAGTTTTCAGTGTTTTTTGATTTTGAACAGGAATATGAGTGTTTCCTTTGTGTTTCTGTACTCTATTATGTTCAATATCTTTTAGTATTTTAAATACTAAGCAATGCCTTTACAAAGTAAGTAAAAATTTTATTCATAATTTTAACTTAATTTAGAAATTATTAATTCATAATTAATTCATCAAAAAAAGTAATAAAATTTTTCATATTTTCTTTTGAGACTTTAGATACCATCCAAATAGAATCCAATGGATTTTAAAAGAATATGTTTAGCTGTTTTTGACAAGATTTCATTATAAAGTTATTGAAAATATGAGGATCTGATACCAAATTTTGATTTTCTTAAGAAATAATATGAAAAAAACAATAATGTAAATTTACATAGACTGACTTCCTGAATAAATAATTTTTACAGGTGGCTTGATTAATGTTACCACATGCTTACCAATATATGTATGTTCTAAGCCATGGTTAATCCTCCATCTCTATACACATGTATATTTCAAACATTAGATTTAATTTTCTCTTTTGATGTCCTGAAGTAGAATGTAAACTAATAACTAATAACCCGGTTACTTGATAACAGAATCTACTGGCATTTCTCACAACAGATACTTTTCATACTTTTACGTACAAGATATTCGATGAGAATTATGAGTGTGAGATTGTATAATATAGAACTCCTTAATGGTTTGTTCATTGGCTATATATATCTTTCTGTTCATGTATGACTGAAAGAATATATATATATATATATATATATAGCTGTGAGAGAGAGGTAAAATATATGTTGTTTTTGCATGGACGCAACACTTGCGAATTGATGTACACATCGTTCTGAGGAGTGGAGGGTACAGAAAATGCTGGACTACTTGCGAACTGTAAATGAGTGGGTATTGAAGATTATGCAATTCTGAACCAGTGGATGCTCATCTGTTGAAGGGCTTCACGTAGATTTCACGGTCATTGGCGGATACAGTAGGCACAGTACCCCACAACCCACAACCATACCAAAGTTACAGGGCGAGGAAACTGTGCAACAATACAGAAGCAAAAAAAGCAGCATTCATTCGAGTACACGGCATGCTAAGGCGAAGATTTTATGTACAATTGTTGCTACAATTTGAATGCCAATTCCTCGTCAAAACTTAGACACTTCCTACAGCAATAAGTTGGATGAGCTGGAAGACGACTCCACTTGAAGAAAAGACCACAGCAGGGTTACACAATTATGGAGATGCGGAGGCGATGGCTGCCTGAATTATAGATTTCGGTGAATGTCTTTTCGGGGAATATCTTTTAGGCGAATGCTTTTTAGAGCTGGACCGCACGTTGTGCGAGTTGGCTCTTCGCAACACGGGAGCACCACGAGCAGCAGCTACTTTATCAAAGGATCGCAATCGTAGCATGTGCGCTTTTTTGTCTTTCAAAATAATTGGAGGCGAAGACCTAGGCACGGGACTTGAATCCTCAACCTCCCAGTATGCGTCGTCCTCTTCCCTGGCAACGATATCATCTTCACCTTCGGACCGGCCACTTCCATCATCTACAGACCCTTCCATCTTTTTTTTCCATTCACACCAAATTGAACTCAGATGAGCATCACATATAGTAGTATATATTTCCGCGCAATAATAAGCAGAACCAACTGTCTGAGATCAGACATCCCTCTCCAGTAATTACAATACACTGCTGCCCAAAATCATGGATCTATGCGTTTCAGAACACTCAACAACAAACCTACGCTCAACTGCACGAACATGCTCGTCCAGGGTAAGATGAATCAGATCGACAGACCACAAAAAATTCGGCAAAGTCATGAAACAATGGCTTACTTCATCCTGTTCAACACGCTCCAGTTCAGACCCACTCGTCTCCCCTTCTCTTTCAGCAGCTTCGTCCTCTTCCTCCAGCTCTTCATCACTTCCATTAACCTCTATTTCTTCCTTGAGCTGCGAAACAGTTTCAATCATTGTGTTAATATCCCACCTGTGGAAAAATTAGAGTTCCAGAGCTCGCACATCCTCAGAGACCTATGATTAAAAGCTTTGTAGCAATGCTTTCAAGTGACAACTAATGTGAAATAATACTGGACTACTAACCTCTTTATCTGGGCCGATACCAGATGAGCTAGCTGCTGCAGAACGAAGATCACCATTTCTGGGATCGCCCTCGCCCGCGTGAGGATTAGCTCCTGAGATGGTGACTTCACTAGAGGTCCCATTATCACTTTGCCACGCACTCAAACCAAGGTTACCAAATTGCAAACGAACAGGTTCAGCAGAACCAACGGACAGTGGTCCGTAGAGTGTAGTACCAAACGTTTTATGCTCAACAACACTCGCCTCTGACTTCTTTGCACTCTCCACTGGCCATGCTTTATCTATTGAACCATCATCATTCATGATGGCCAATAGATTTCGGGAAGATCCTTTGCGTTGGATTAATTGGAACATACTCTTAGAACCTAAAGCTGATGCGGTGTACTGTTTAGTATACTCTTGGTGAACGACTTTAACAGTATTTGTATTCAGGTCAAGCAGCCCCTCCCCATCCCCCATTCGCCGCAAGCAGTTGAAAACTGTAGCATGAATGGCAGCCACACTCTTATCGACATTGGTATTGTTAATCTTGGGCACAAGATGCTTATCAGCACGCTTACACAAATAGTCTTGAATGGTCCTGATATTTCGAATATACTTAACATACTTGTTCTTGGACGGATCCAGTGTCATGTACTTTGCACGAACTGCAAACCTCTCCATGTGCTTGCTTTCGTTAGCGATGTATATCATGAACGGTATGATCGATGGATGCTTCTTCATCAGTCCCATCTGCAGAAATTTAGACTCAAATAAGAATCATCTTCGAACTCTTAGCAGCATATCAGTGACACCATGAAAAACGGAGGACTACGAGGTAAAGAAGTAACTTCTTCGTAGGCGCATGACAATCCTAACTTATGTGAAGATAACTTGATAAATGTATGTAACTTTCAATGAAATAGAACGACAAAGCAACATGCTTCACACACAACTGAAGACAAAATTTTAACCATACTAGAGTCTGTGATGCTTACCACAAAATTCAAACTTAAATGAACGCCCTCAACAACAACGGACTCCCTTCTCTTCTCCCAGCCTGTAATGAGTCTATCCAGACTGTCCATCACCATCTCGCTTTGAGCCTTGAAACCTTGCACTGCCATCACCTTAGCACTCACCAAGCACTCACCATTCTCTAGCTTCCCACTCCCAGAGGGCCTCAAGCTGGGATACTCATCTGCTTGCAAACCTTTACCATTGCCATTGCTGCTGGATCCATTACCATTGTTGAACGAACCATCTCCGTTGCAAATAGCAAGTTTGGATTCCAGGTCTACGAGACTGCTAGAGTCAATGGGAGTTGACGAGCCTGTTGATGGTGTGCGCATTTGAACTTTTTTCTTTCGAATCGCCTCCGACACAGCCTCTGGGTCCAGAAATTCTCCAGCATGGTAGGTAGAAGACCAAAGCAGTGGGTTCTCCTCCTCACTAACAAATCCACGCATCATGTGTCGAACAGAATCAGTGGATACCACCGTCGTGACCCCAAGACGGTGTCCCTGAAGATCCCAAAACATTGTGAAAATTCATCAATATTGGAGATCATGATGTAGAGACTTCAATAGCTCACTCATCGGACCCTAATTAAGTAGAATTGAATAAGGTCGCAGGAAAATAAAATTCATGAGATAGAAGTTTTACAAGTAAAGAAGCCAGTGTAGACTTCCCGCAACCACTCGTCCCACATAGTAAAACAGTCACTGAAGTCTTTCTTTCTCGAATCCTGATTCCCAAAAAGCCGAGAAGGGGACAGGAGTCAACAACACAAAATTCCATATTTAACCTACTTTTATTCACACCTCTTCAGACCGTAATCCAATTCGCCTTGAGCCTTCAACTATCAAGATCCTAAAACTCTCGCGTAGAGCCTCTCAGATAACATTTCACCGTTCAACTATCACAAAGCTGTTGAATATCGCGAGGCAAAGAGAAACCTACCGACAAGCAACCATGAGATCTGTCCGCTGCTTGGGACCCAAATACTGATACTGTGACAATCCCTCGCACACCACATTTAGGAATTTCTCCCTGCTCACGGTCACAGTCGACCGCTTCTTAAGTGGTTTAGGATTCACTTTGAACCCATTCGAATCATGTTCTTTAGAATCTTTTTTGTCGATATCCGCCAAAGGTGCGAGACCTAGGAATCTATCCCTCTTGGGTTGCTTTGGAGGCATCTCGCTTCGGATGACTTCGAAAACACGGTTGCTAATCTGTCAGGTTCAAAATTCCACAGTGCGACGATTCAGTATGCCAATCCATACATGACACAGCTCCTAATGACGCAGTCTCCCTATGCAGATAATGAGAAGCTTCGTAAATTATTTCCAAAGTACAAACCAAATCTCTAGTCACCAAATTGCATTGGAAGTCCGAAAATGAGCTCCAAGGCATCAAGCTTACACCTTGATGGCATGTCGAGGCTTGCAACCCATAAGCTGAAGCGTGCTGGTTAACAATGGCCGCGTGTAACGATGAGATGGGCCTTGCTCCCCTTCATTTACCCCAGACCCGGGGTCATCTTGGACCAATATGTACAGTAATTTTGTTCCCTCGAGGGACTTCGAAGTTTGCAACACTGAGCTCTCTTCCACATTAGCACATTGCAACTGTGCCTCCAGGATCTTCTGAGCTTTCACCTGCACATGTAAGTTAGAAACTCCTGAAAAGCTAGCTGTCAAGAAATTCGAGAAAAGAAAATTAACACGCTTCCAAAAGTTATGAAAGCGACAAATCCAAGAAAAAACAACCAAAACCCAAAAAACCGGATTCCTCAAGGAGGTAAAATGAAGAAGCTGAAATACACGTCAATTTTATTACGAAGATTCACCTCTGAAAATAAAATGACAAAGTTTTGAAATGACAGTCAGTTAGTAACAGTAAATAAAAACCAATAAGATATGTGTCCAGAAAAACGTATATATAACTTAGAAAATTGTAGCCGGAGTGTACGAAAACGAGTAAGAAATTAAATACCATGTTGACGACTAAAGATGAAGTAGATCAAATATCTGTTCCAGTCCTGTGCTCCGAACTCCCTCACACAAGGTTCCTGCACAAGAAAAATATTCTGAAATATTAAATTGGAGTTTCTGATAACGTGCACAAGGCACATGCAGCGAACGAAGACCAATTGTCCAGAAGAACATGGCATTGTCAATTCCACAGAGCGGAAAGCCGGACACAATCGGTAAACGGACACAATCTATGTATTTTTTTAATACATAGATTGTAGACGGTCAGAGCATAGTTGACAGCGCACAGGAATACACAAGTGATGGACGCTGGTTACAATGGGAGTCAAAGAACTCAATACAACTACGTACATTATTGACAACATCTCGATACACTGTAGGTGAAAGCACCAAAGAATCATAGAAGTCCTACGACTCTTGTTCCTAAAGCAGAACCCAGAACTGCCCCATCAAATCACCTTTCTGTTCCACCATAAACTCGCCAACAATGGGAAGAAAACGATCACATTCAAGACAAAAGGCCAAAAAAAGGTTGATCTGAATCAGATTCAGATTTGATGCAAAACTGACGCCAACACATTACTTCTAAAGTGTAAAAACCCTTCAACCCCCAATGCGTGCAGAATATAGATAGTTGTGAAAGAGAACAGTGTAGAAGTCTCCAACGATTATGACTTATACAGCAGCAAGTCGTTCAAAATTACGATATCCTCTAAATAGAAAAAGAGGTTTTAAGAAATCATCAAGCGTCAGAGAATTTTTATATCTATCAGCAGCTTTGCCAAAAGTTTAAAGTGCTAACATTACACAAAATTTTAGAATGTGAAGGAAATCATCACACCTCAAATTCTAACAGCTGCTACATTCGAGGAAACAGGATCTCCCAGCCAATCAGAGGCAAAACCTTCTATGTAATCGAACGAACAATCAAAAGACTCAAGGTAAATATTGCCGTAATAAAAAATGAAAAAATGAAAAGCGGGGGAGAGAACAGAAAAGAAGAAAAGAGAGATAATACGACAACAACAACAACAACAACAACAAAAACGACAACGACAACACACACACACACACAAAGCAAAAAAGAGACACTCCGTCCCCTATCTGCCGAGGCTAAGCGGAACTGCACTCATATGCATGTATGTCTCTGTGTGCGTGTGCCTTCAGGGATGTACTTGGGAAGAGTAGCAGAGAGCACGTGACTTAAAACCTCAAATGCAACTGAACAGTACGCTGCCAGTACGACTACGGGTTAAACCTTCTCATAGACTATGTACGAGCCGATTTAAGTTCCACCAAGATTTCCAGTTAGAAGCAAAAGAATGGCATTATCATTGAACGCGCCACCCTTGTGCGAAAGGTATTTAGCATCAATAGCGAAGAAAAAAACTGTGCGACGCAATAACGCAATTGCATTGTACTAATCAATTCTTTGCCATATTTCTCGAAAGTACACTCTCACGAGGCTCCTGAAATACATGGGCATGTTCACTAAACCTCAAATTGACGATACATTCTACCAATGTGACCACGCTACGATCATCACAATATACCGCCTCTAACACGTGTACAAACTTCACAATGCGCTTCAGTCGCGCCTCTCAACCTTCCAAAACTAAACCTATACTGGTTCCTCAACCCTCATCTTCCTTGTTGACTAAGGAGCCATCACGATAGTGAAAAGCAAACTTCACGCGCTCTCCTTCTACTCACCGTTTAAGTGACCCTGTCACGCTAACGTCTGTCCACAACCCCACGCATCCGCAATTCTCCTCGCTGCCGAATCCTCCCACTCCTTCCGGCCAAAAAACTATCTCTTAATCTATCAACATTACAAACTCCTTCGCTCCCAACCGCCTCACTCAATCAAAGGAAGGAACCAACACCGAAGAGCACTTTAAAAAGCCTTCTCAAACACACTGTGACCAAAGCGATCAACTACAAAACCTCACCATCTCCACTTCTTCTGTATCCTCCACCAATTGCCTCACCGCAATAATGAAGCTCTATTGTAATTAGAATAAGAATAAAACACTCCACAATCTCCCTCCGACTTGGTGTTGGACCTCTCCCCTTCCACACCATTGATCGCATGCTCTCCATCGAAGGAAGGAAGAGACAAATTACTCAACAACAGCATAGCCTTTCCCTCCACGTAGCCTCCGTCCTCTCTCTCTCTCTCCCTTCCTCCCTCCCTCCCTCCCCTTCCGTAGACGTCTCTTCGCAACAAAATGGGAGAACTAAATCCGACCTTAAGGGGGAAATGACGACACCAATATATAACAAACAAATAACAATCGGCACTTGCCAAACACTCCCACCGAGCGACACGAAATTGAAAAACCATTGACAAAGATTGTAAATGGAATGCCACGAACACGAAACACCACTCACCCTCCCAGTCTCCCTCACCGCCAGGCTCCCTGCCCGGCCCGTCCCCCTCCCAACCACACTCTAGGTCGCACACACTCTACAAACCTCACCTAAACCACGCCTCAACATCCGCACAACAAAGACTCGCTGGCTCACACCTCTCTCTTTCTCACACACACACACTCTCACTCTCTCGCTCTCTTTCTCTCTCGGTGTGGACGAGCAGCAGCACGAGTGAGAGGTTCCGCGCCGGGATGATTGTGGGACTCACCCTGTCACGGGCACAGGCAACGGTTGACTTCGGCAGATTTCTAATTCCATCAGCTGCGGTGTAAGCTCCGATGGCCGGATGGCGACGACGACAACGGTGTGCATGCAGAAGAGAAGTAGAGAAGCGCGGCGCAGCGCAGAGATGCAGGAGACGCGCCGGGCCAGCAACTCCCCCTCCTCCTCTTCCTGGTCGAGCGAGGGCGAGATTGCTCGGGCCCTGGAGCCTCGTCAGGCTTTTATACAAATGGTGGCAGCTCCGTATTATGGCAGCAGCCTGTTCGCATTTCCTTTCTTCAGTCGCTTTGCATGCCCGTTTCTCTGCCTCTGGGATTTTTTTACTTCCACACTCTCCGTGTCCCTGTATCTGTATCGGTCTCCGAATGAGTGCTTTTGTGTGTGAAGGGAGGTTCGTCACCATGCCGCCCCCCCTTGCCGCCTGGCTGACTTTGGACCCCTTCCTCAAGTGTATAAATTTATCATTATTATTATTATTAATATTATTTACTGTGGCATGGTGTGGAAAAATCAGTGGCTGTTGTATGTTGCCCTTGTTGAGTAATGTTGGAATTTCTCCAGTGAGGCATCTCAATCAGTGAGTGGTCTGAAGGCAGTTTGTTTTCCAAGGGTAAGGTGGGAGTGGTGCTGTGGAGATGCCAACACTGGTCACTATGTCCACCCAACTCTAAATAATCAAAAGCATTGCAGCCCTTCACCAGTGTGCCCACATTGCCTCCAGCAGGAAGGGACTCTGTGGCACAGTTACAAATGAGTCATGAGTCATGCATCACCACATTTGCTGCAGAAAGAAAAATGCAACAAAGAAGCATAAGGAATAGAACCAGGGTAGGGTTGGCTTTCATATTGAAGCTGCAACAAGCATGGCCTTGGTCAAAGATGTGGGCCTTCCAGAGTGAGCTCCAGACAAGTAGGAAATTTATAATATAGTGTATCACTGTGGTTTATGAGATATTTTTCCTACTCACCAGTCAGTCCCTCCCCATGGTACATTGAAGGCTATGATGGGCATATAGGGGGGGGGGGTCTTTTCTTTATTTATGTGTTTTGTTTCTGGGGCTAGGAGCATGATTCATGATCCAGAAAGTGCAAGAAGGCTTTCCTCAATTTGCTTCAGTGTACATGAATTGAATTTGGGAGGGAACTGAAGAGTTATTTTTGAGTTTTGTTGACATGGGTAAGTTCCCACTGACCTGTTCATGCTCATGTGCCCCTTGGAAGGAGGGTATCCCTGCTTCTTACATAGATAGAAAAAGGTTAGGGTACAAACAGAACTCTTCTTCCAAAACAAGTCATGTCTATCATACAACAAACAAAAACAGATCCACCTTAGTCTCTCCATGAGTGTATGTGAGAAATATATGTATGTACATATACACACACATATATATATTTACATTAAAGTTATCAAAATAACTACTTTAGCACTGAAATACCCCCCCCACAACACTAATCTCAGCTAATACTAATCTAAATCAATCAAAATAGCAGGAATCTGACATTGTGGGTATGGATTTACTCCAAAAATCTAGAGAGAGAGGGATTTAGACTAACCCTGACTATGTGGATTTCAAATAACAACAGGTTCAGGATTTGTTCCATGACTGCAAAATCCCATCTCCCCTAATAATATTCTTCTTACTATGATAAATTAAGTGGTTTTAATTTAGATTCTTTCCAATGCTGAAACTCCAAGATGACTAGATAGGCATTTTGTCTTCAAATATATGTACACCAACCAACTGAACCAACTATATTCTCTGTTTCTTTAGTTTTCCCAAATGCATGTGCACATTAATATATTATGGGTATATTATTTTATTACTATTTTTGTCTATTTTTCAATTATATATATATATATTAAAAAAATTGTTTGTTTGTTATTTTCTTCAATTCAATCCAACAACCCCATGCCTTCTTCCCTGGTTTGGGCAAAAAAGGATCTGAACTTGACATATAATATGATGGATTCCATCCATTTCGCACAAGCCCAACCTTACCTAGCCCTGGTTAAATTGTATTAGAGGCCCCTCCAAGCCTTGCCCAGCAAGAGTTGGTGCCAATTTTCCCCTGGAACTACACCATGTTGCTTTTTCTTTCTTCATCCATGATTGGATATCTGAAAATATTAATGAAAGTTTAAATTCATGCTGTTTCCTGCCTGTACTTGCCCACAAAAATTGAGACTAGGGGAGCTAAATCCAAGGTAGCTAAGAGAAAGTTGGGGAGAATGCAATGAAGTATTTAAAGCAGAGGTCAAAAAGTAAAACACAAATGTTACACTTACACTTGGGATCAAATTTGGGATATAATAAGAAATATTGCACACTACAAGCAGGCTCCTTAACCAATGTACCAGCCCTTCCAAAACATGAACTTTTCTGCAAATCTCACTTTTTTAGACTGATGTAGATGTTGCCCAACCCAACTACCTATGGGCAGCAAGCTGAGTGAAACCTAGATTGTACCATGGGCCAGGCCACAGGACTTTTGAACATTAACAAAGCTTACAGGATTCATTCGTCGGACAACCCAGGTAAGCCCAATCCATGCCCTCTTTTGCCTGAGGGCTTCTTCTGCTTCCTTCCACAAAAGTCAAGTTTGCATGGCAACAAAATACATTCACTCCAGAGTTGAGTACAGGAATGACATTGAAAAAAATTGACTAATTTACTCTCTGTTTATTAACTGAGCTAACTGCTCATCTTTCTTCCTTCCTCTTCTTCCTTCTTCACTCACACAGCAGCAGGAGCAGCAGCAGCAGCAACAGGTCTTTGTCACAAACTGTGCATCCAAATCCAACATCCCCACCCACCACAAAGCCACCAATTACACGTGCACCATCCCAGAACGAGACAATAGCGAAGGATGAAAAAAGGATAACAAAAAGAAGAAAGAAAGAGCAAAAGGCAAACCCACCCTCCACAGCGCTCCAAAACCAGATAGTCCGCCCTGGAGGGGAACGGCAAGGGAACACACGTGGGAACAGCACTTAGACTCAACATGCCTTTCACGGGGAACGCGGAAGATTCGGGATCCCGCACTCAAGATCCGGTGGTAGATTCAAAGCCCACCTCTGAATCTCCGCCCCTCACATTCTCCTTTTCGGCTTTCTTTCCCTCCTTGCTGGACTGGGCTGGGCTGGGCCGGGCCGGGTTGAGGGAAAGCGGCGGTCCTGCTTCCTTGGTCACCATATTATATATGGAACGGAGGTAATGAGAGGCCCATACTATCTCATAATTGCAGCCTTAGATTAGTCACCATGACACCTCCGCATTGCTCGATCCAACAGACCAGATCATATATCGACAGTGGAGAGAAAGTTATCCAAAACGGTAAAGTAGAGACACACGTGGAGCATGAGATGGGTTGTTAGAAAAACGGGGACCCCGAAGAGTTGCTGTAGCTGCTAATTGTGGCGGTAGGCTAGGCCTTCGTCGAAGCTGCAGTGGGATTTGTGATCTGAATTGAGCTTCATACAGTCGGCCGGGCTGCCCTTCCCGATCCCGTCCCCGTCCCTTGCACACCCCCGATACGTTTTTCATGGCCTCCTCTCCATTTCCAGTTCTCGTGTTTGATTCTTTCGGGGGAATTGGGACTAAGAATTGAATACTGAGCCCAATTAAAGAGTTGGGGTGGATAGATTTGCGTTCATACTAAACGGAAGTAGACCCAGGCAAGTTGGGTAGGTGACAAACTATCAATAATACCGACAAAATTTAGTTTAGGGTAATGTATTATCAAGCTGATGCTTTTGAAAGTCATGGGTTAGAGATCGGTGTGGGTGATAGAGTTGACAAGTTTAGTTTTCAATCTGTGTGAAGTTGATACTTACTGATAAATTGGTGCAAAGGTGGTAGAATTATTATTCGATGCTAAATATAGTGTGAGAAAATATGTATATATTTGTATTAAGACCCAAATTTTATTTTGGGAGTAATACCTTAAGGGTTTTATTTTATTTTATTTATTTTTCCATAAAATGTTATGAGACGAAATAATAACTTATTTTATTTAATAATAATTTTATTTAATAATAATTTTATTTAATAATAATTTTATTTGTGTAAAGTAATGTATTTTTATTTGCTTCATTGAATATGTATAGTAAATTATTTCTTTTTTCAACTTATACTATATACATATGGTGTTGTTCATGCCACCATAGTTTTTGTTGCTGCAACCACAATAAACCATCTACTGTGTGCCACCATACTCTATTTTTATTAAGTGTTGAGTCATTTTTTATCAAAAACATATAGAGTTTTATATAATTTGATAAAAATAAAACTTTATTAAATTTATTTTAAAAAATTTAAATTAGAATTAAAAAAACTAAAGAAATATGTTGAGTGGGTGGTGGGTGGCATTAACAATACCCTATATACATATATATGTATATATATATATATATATATATATATATATACACATGAGAATTCTTAAATAAATATATATTATTAGTTGAGGTAGTACAAAGTTCATCTTATAAATTGTCTATGTTGTATATTTCACTTCACCTTGGTATTTAAAAACAAAAAAGAAGTCTATGAATCTTAAATAATCTTGCCTTGATTTACTGTTTTAAATGTGTCTTTTATATATTGAACTTTAAAAAAATTATGTTATTTATTTTATTTTTTTTTTGAAATTATAAAGAATCAATCAATTAGGATAAATGATTCACAATGTCAAACTTGATACACTATCAACATATGTTTTGTTTTGTTTTGTTTTTTTTTTTTGACGAAAGATTTCAATATATTTTGAAAGCATGTTAAAAAAAAGAGTTAGAAAAAAAATGTTAAAAAAAATTAAAATGTTAAAAAAAAAGTTAGAAACAATCTATTGTATTTTTTTGTTTCATTATAATACATTTCTTTATTCATAATTTACTAAGTAAATACATCACATATTTAGTTCTCAACTCAAGTGTTCTCTACATTGATCATTTTTCAAACTATGTCATTTTTTCTAAAAAAGAAATGCAGGAAGGCAAAAGCTGATAAATACAAAACTTAAATAAACCAAAACTAATTAAATGAAGACAAAAAAAACAGTACGACTGTAATTGTTTTATGTGCTTGAGGTTTCAATACCTAATTCTTCTTAAATGTATACAAATAAAATGCATAAAAATTTCAAACTAGTCGATGCACATGTTATAGATATGTTGGTATCTCATTTCTATAAACCCTTTGAATATTTAATTCTATTTT